TTTCCTAGCTAGAATGCTAGTTGTGACACAACAAGGCCCAAAACCCTAGTAGTCCAAATATGGTCCAAAACCCGAAAGTCAATGGTAGCTGAGTACGACCGACGTACTTAGACTTATGCCCAACATACGCCTTCTTTGGACAGTACGTGCAACATACGAGCTGGTTACACCCAGCGTACTCCATACCCAACCCATATCCCTACTAAGTGCTTAATCCGTTAAGCCACTATGTCTATTTCTCAGATCTTATCCTAAATGATGTCTTCACACATAAAGTTGGCAACTTTACTCCTTTGTATGTCTTAATGGGACCCAATGCTCAATAAGATCCATAATAAGCTCCCAAACTCATGCATGGTCCAAGATAACTCATCAAGATTGCATTTTTATGGTTCCTGATAACTCCATAATGGATAAAGTTTCCAACTTTATCCATTAAAATGGTCCAACCAACCAAGATCTAGTATTTAACTCTCAGAGGGACCAAAAGTGCATCTTTTCCAACTTAATCCATTAATTCCAAGTCTCAAGATTTTAGATCTGAATCAATATGATGTTTAGATGAATAAAGTTTCCAACTTTATCCATAACAAGGTCACAAACTTTCAAGATCTAGACTTTATGCACTAAAGTGACCAAAAGCTCATAACACCCAAAACTAGCTAGATCTAACAAATGCATCATCAAGATTCAAACTTTATACCTCTAGAAGATAGATCAAGGTGAACAAAGTTTGGATCTACAAGCTCAAATGTAACCAACGCTTCTCTAGTGAGCTCCTTCTTCTCCATGATGCACCAAGAACATTCCAAAGCACTTAAAAACACCTTTTTTCTCACAAGACTCAAACTAGGGTTAGGGTTTCAAGGGAGGGTGTTGGAGAGGTAGAGGCTGAGAATGGAATGGGTTTGGGGAAGTTAAGGATCTTAAATAGGGCTCAAACCACGAAAATAGGGTTTGGGCACTAATCGCGTATGCCCAATGTACTCCATGCATGCCTTAGTACGCCCAACATACTCCAAGTATGCCTAACGTACTCCATGTATGCCTACTATGCCCAACATACTCCAGGTACGCCCAATGTACTATACTAAGCCCCAAAACCTTCCTAACTTCAAACGGTCATAACTTCTTTGTTCCAACTCCGTTTTCGACGATATTTATATCCACATAAAGGTAAAGAGAAGATATACAATCCTATAAACTAACCTTTACCTTAAAAATTTTCGAACGTAAATCCAAAATTCATAAAAGATCTGAACTATCACTTTACGGTTATACCCATGGGATCCAAAGCACCAACCGAACTCTCAGATCACCTAATATCAAGGTTCTAAATAACGTAAGGCATGACTTGGTGGCATTGTCAAGCCTCAAGCTTTTCCGAGCCTTGGCGAGCCACATCGTTTGTAAGGTGTGACTTAAGGCAAAAATTTTGTATATAATTAATATTTTTATATGTATTTCAACTATTATTCTATTTTATACATATATATGAGTTAAGGCGGCGTTTTGGTAAAGCTTGGCGGCAGACACAAGCCTTGGAGCCATGGCGAGCTTTTTAGAACCTTTCCTAATATACATTACCCACATCCAAAGGGGCCTAAATCTCTCTCTCTCTCTCTCTCTCTCTCTCTCTCACCAAGGCCCGAAGCCTTATGATAATTGATCTTCGGGTCACGGCCCCGAATGATGAAACGACGAAACAGTGTGTTACAGGTTTGGGAAAACCTGGTGAGATACATAGGGTTTTCAAACCCATAATAGTTTAATGATAATAATTAATATCGTTCCTGCAAACAACGCCATCAGATAATTTATATAAAATATGACCTAAGACCAACTACCCACAACCCAATCAATCCTCACATATCCTAAAGAAACGATTGTATGTAGGAATCACCCAACCTAATAAACCGTTTGAGCAATTACTAGACTACACAACTAGGGGTGTCCTTGGCCAGTGTAAGTCATATAAGGCAACCAATGTTCAAAGATTTGATAAATATGGTATCCTATTTTATCTACGTCCTTGGGTTATAAGTCCATGCTAGCAATGTAATTCACTAGACTACCTAGAATAGTCAAGTGTTGTCATCTACTCCGGTGGATGACCCAGACATACTTGCCTGTTGTCTGATCTGGACCCACCATTTCTGGTCATCCAAGAAAGAGGAGAAACACTCCGCTCTGATCTCACACACCCTACCCCAGTCATGAGACCTATTCGATATCTAACTTAATTTTAACTAAGTATCCTTTAAAAGTCTTATTCTTAACCTAAGGCAAGACTTATATTTAAAGGCAATCGATTTCCAATACGGTTTTTAATTCAATAGTATTATCTTAATTATACAAATAGAATATAGCACAAATAATACAACCAAGCATTTATTGTCTCACATAAATAATACTTTTGTTTTAGATTATGATCTTGATAGTAACTACACACTCACTTCACAAAGTGTCTGGTGATTGGTGAATTGGGCAGAGCATTACCTTACACCTTTTCCAAAAGACCTAGATGTATATAACGCTAAGTCTTAGTCTAATTTCATACTTCATGGAACTATTATCCTAAGCGTTTAGATTCCTTAATAATCCCAATGTATACTTCAAGATCTAAACAAGAAATAACCAGGTAGAATCATATCAGAAGTAGGGTCTGTTTGGTATACATAGTATACTGTTTGGAAATCTCACTTTAAACACCTCACTAAATCCAACCTAGACATCACTCCCCGTAAGTAGATCGAGCAGTATAAAGACTTGGAATCATCAATAAATATTACTTATAAGTTCCTAGTTACGAATTATAACTATAATTATAAATTACACGAAAGCGGAGTAAGTGTATCTCACTTATAGAGGGCTATTGATGAGAATCAGGATCTAAGCGGGCAAAATACTGACTTGGGATCTTCTACACGAAGGCTACTACTCAGATGAGTACTTAGGGTCGTCGCAAGGCTTCGCCTCGGAACATAAACGAAGGAAAAACGGGCCAAATGCCAAATATTTCAGAGAGAAATCGATTGAAATGGTGTGACGATTGAAGAATGAATGAGCTGCTATTTATAGGGGGATTTCTTGGGATGCACGTTGTGCATCATAGTGGACCTCCGCGCTCTTGGTCGGGACATAATGATGTGGAAAAATGCTGGCCTGACACATGGCGAAAAATGAGTGGGGCTGTGTGGTCTTGTCTAGCACGCCGTGCTCCTGAGGCGCACGCGTACCGATTTTTAGATTTTAAAAATTGTGTAACTTCTTCATACGAACTCAATTTTTGACGTTCTTTATATCCCCAGAAAGCTCTCGACGAGATCTACAACTTTTGTTTAGATTCCGTCGGCTAATCTTGACTTTATATATTTCACATAGACTTAGACTGTTAAAACCCGTATAAAAACATAACTCTATCATCATGTGTCCGTTTTTGACAAACTTTATATATTTGGAATTCTATTAACGAGATCTTCAATGTCGTTTATATTATTTTGGCTAAAAGTTGACCGATCTAAAATTCGATTTTTGAGCTGAGTACAACTATGCCGAAACTTAGAAAAATTATAACTTTCTCTCACGAAGTCATATTTAGATGTTCTCTATATGCACGCTCTCGGTTTAACAACTACTATGACTTTCGTTTAGATTACTTAGACTAAAAAGTAATTTATCAAAAAAATTACTTTTTACGATACGCGAAGCCGTACCGATTTAATCACGAAACTTCGAAGAAGCATAACTTCTTCATATGAAGTCGGATTTGAACGCTCCTTATATCTCTGGAATCCTTTTAACGTATACTAAAACTAAATTAAGATTATTTGTCATAAGTAATCTTTTATTTTCGACGCATATTTTAATCTTATTTATTTTATTACTAATACCATTATAATTTTCATAAAAACATCCTATAAAACACATAAGCACATAAATATATGAATAATCCTTTATTATTCATTCATATAAGGATTACAATCGTTGACCAAAATGATTACAGACTATGACTTAATCTACCAGGAAACGTGGGCGTTACATTATAAGGTGACTAATGAAACATTAAGTAACTTTATAAGGTTTTGGATATGAAATACCAATTCATTTTACACAAGTTCATTGTATTCCAGACACTGTTTTAACATTCATATTACGTTTATTAAGTTGTTACTCGATAAAAAAAACATAAAAACAAGTAAATGAAGCTACAACTAACATGTAAACTCTCAATATCGTCATGATCGAGCGACATTTTTTACATCGGCAATAAGTATCATATATCCTATGTCTTGGTGTAAAGTCCAAATTGCATTAAAATAAGGTCCATTGAATCCGAGACCCGTTTCAGACTCCTTGGTTATTTTGCTAATTTTCCAAAATATCAATATCCATTTAAAGAGTGTTTAGCTAAGCTTATTTAAAAATGCTTTTAACTTTTTAACTTATAACTTATTAATTTATAGCGGTGTCAAAATGGAGTTTTTTTTTTTTTTTTGGATTAGCTTATCTGATGTTAAAACGCTATAAGTTGAACAACCAATTTTAGTGTTTTGGTAAAATGACAAAAAAAAGGCTTTCTAGAAATATTGGACGACTATAGTTATAAGGAGTTTTGATAAGTTAAGAGTTAGTAACTTATCAAAAATGATTTATTTCCGGTTCTACACCACTATAAGCTATTAAAAAAAAAAATCTATCCAAACACTCATTTTAACTAAGTTAAAAAAACTCATTTTTTTAAGCTTAATCAAAATTTAAGAGATCGGTCATCTTGTGGTATTCTTGTAGTTTAAGCCCCCTTTAACTAATACCATAGTTGAGGGACCAATCTGGACATTTGGTAAACTCCAAATGGTCAAATAATGGATTATTCCATTTCTTCGCGACCGAAACCCTAAACATCACCAGATCTTCAACTCTCATAGATTGGTACGTTTTCTCCCTCCCTTCTCTCATATGTGTGATGAACTTCTTTGTATTAGGAAATAGTAGTAAATATGTATTTTAGGGTTAGTTTAAAGTTCTCGCTGATGAATTTCATTTGTGTTCGCAGATTTTTTACAGATCCGTCGGTGATTCGCGGAGCATACCAAGGCAGCGTCACTTTGTCCGATCGTCCTTCCAATCGGTATGTCTCTCTGTAAAACTCGCTGCTATCTCTCTCTCGCTACTTTATTTTTCTGTAAGTTTCATTCGGTATGGAATTTGATTTCATGGTTTTTGGTGATTCTTAATTCTTGATTATTTTCAATATTGATTATTGATTCTTAACTTATAATAATACCATGCTGTTGGTGATTCTTGATGTTGTGTGGTGATTCTTGTTTCTAATACATAGATTTTATGTCTACAATTGTTGAATTGATTCCACGGTTTTTGTTGATTGGTGTTAAAAATGGGAATAAGAGAAAAGACCAACAAAACTAAAAGAATAAATCTAAAAAAATGTATCTGGGCCTTTTAATCAGGTTTCTAAGTTCTAACCTAATCAACCAACACCCTCCATTTAATCTAAAAAATGATAATTTACTTTGACATTTACTTAATATTCTGTTTTCTTACTGAGTTACTACTTGTTTTTAATTTTGTGCAGAAGTATTAATTTGTTATTGACTTACTTCTTAGTGGTACTTTCTCTGTAGAGTACTAGTAGGCAGTGTTTTTTAAGTTTTTACAAAAACTTGTTTCTCTGAGGTTTTACAACATTAATACTGCTACAGTGTTATTTTTCTTGCATTTTTATTTGGCAATTGAACTTCAGTTGATATTTTATTGAGGAATCACAGATGTGTTTATGTCATAAGACTTATAATGTTCTAGGATTTTGTGATGATGATGGCATTAATTTTGACTTTCTAAGTTGATATGGAATTTTGTTTTGTTTTTTATGAATTCTATAATTCTATCTATGGTGTTTATTTGTCTACTTGTTAAATCAAAAGGGTTTTAGATTTAGATTTGGAAATTGATTTTGTTTTAGTATTTTGGATTGAATGTTGTTTTAATTTTAAGGGTTCCAAAATAAAGAGGAAGAAGATATTGTCAAGGGTGTAATCGTCATTTTCACAAATTTATCTTTTGGGCTGTTAAATTTGACAAGAGAGGGACCAAAAAAAGTCGTCCTTTTTTTACCCAAACCATAGTAAATCTTCAATAAGAGCAACCAAATTTGCAGTTCATTTTTAATATATGTTTCATTAAAGAATTGTGTTATACTTTTTGTTTCTTGCTCTCACCTGGCTAGCCTTAATTGGACAAAAATCCTCTTGCTTAGTTTTATAATATTTTCTTGCATTCTTGCCCTTTTTGCCCTCAACCAATGCATTAGCAACTAGGTAGAATAATGGAGATTTTGAAAATGTCAATTCTTTTATAAAAGATTAATGCTTATAAATGTAGGAATTATAAACTTACTACTTGACCAGACAATTTGTACAAATAAATGAGGAAAGCCCAACTTTTTGTATAAATCGTTCTTTTTGCATTAATTGGAAAATTAAGTAAAAAGGAAACAACACGTTACTTTTAAAATAAATTATCTAATCTTATTGAAACACATGAAGTATACATATTTGATGTTGTTAACTTGTAGCACACAATTTGTGAGCATCAAAATCTGTTTTGTGGCTGATGTTTGATTCTCTATTTTTTATGCATAAATTTGAAGAAATGAGTGGAACCAAGATTGTTGGTGCTCTTGTAGGATCATTTGTACTTGCATTCACATGCGATTATATTATCGCTGACAAGAAGATTTTCGGAGGTATGTAATTATGTATTCGCTCTCGATCTTTCGTCTGTCCAAAAGACATAAATGCCCTCCTCATCCTCATCATTGAAAATACCCTTAAAATTTCAAGTTAAAATATATGTCATTTCACGTTCAAATTCATGTAAAATCTCCTATTTTTGATATGTCAAAACATAACATAACATGACAAGAGAACCTTTCTAGAGCTATTTTTGATAAATAGAACGAGGGCATTCATGTCTTTTTGTACAAACAAGAGATCAAAATCAAATCCGCATCTCACCTTTTTTCCACACCAAATAAAGTACAACCTGTATTGTCTTGTCTTGTCATGTCATGTCATATCCTGTCATTATTTATTTATTTATTTATTTTTATTGTATTTGATTTAATCTAAAATAAATACGATAGGTACCACTCCATCTACGGTTTCAAACAAGGGATGGTGGGAAGAGACCGACAAGAAATTCCAGGCATGGCCTCGTACTGCGGGCCCACCCGTGGTGATGAATCCAATCAGCCGCCAAAATTTCATTGTCAAGGCCCATGATTAAAGTTCCTAAATTTGGTAAATTTTTACCTCAATGGTTGGTTGAACTTTCTTTCTTATGTCATTACAATTTTTAGTCCATGAGAATTTTATATTTTTGCTAAAAACTCTGTAAACCAAGCATTTCATGCTGCAACTTGAAGTTTAATAAATCTTTGATTGGCTGTCTTCATTCTGCAACCAAAATATGCAAATATTTTATCTGTAATTTTGTTTAATCTGTTGAAACGTGGTTGTGTAGTTTGTCTTTTCAATAAATTAGTTAAAGGGTAAAAAATGGGTGCATAAATAAACGCTTAAATGTTGCAATCTCATTAGGAACTGGTTTTGGTTATGGTGTTGTTAATATTGGTTTTAAAGTGAAATGTTATTTTATAAAATTACTGCAGTTTGGATTTTTATTGGTATGAACGGATTCTTATTGGTTTCACCACTGAAATAAATTTTATCATTGAAGTTTTTCTATTTACTTAAAGAAGAACCACTACATGAAACTTTTAATTAATTAAAAGCCATTATAGTTTGAAGATTGTTCGGGTTAACCATACAAAGAATTTGTTTTTAGGATTTAACCACTGTAGTTTGGAATTAAGAAAATGGCAGATACCATAAAAGCTACTGTATTCTTTTTAAACCACTAAAACAAATTGTTTTGTAGTTTAACAATTGAAAGTTTTTTGTCTTTTTTTTTTACATAAAAAAAAACCAGAAAGAACAAGTAGGGGAACGACTAAAGTACGGGAATGGATGATTACATTTCATCGTGGGAAAATTGACTTATCAACCTAATTATCTTTTCATTTTGTTTATATTTGGGTTAACTTAGGTAACAAATTTTTTGGAAATGTTAATATATGATCATCATGATCGGCTGTAGCAAGTTACAGCTGATCATGATGGTCATATGTAAAAACTTCTAACAAATTCGTTACCTAGACATGTACAAAAAAGAAAACAAAGTTACCCAGATGTGAAAAAAACGAAAATGTAATTACTTTGATAAGTCAATTTCCGTTTTTATTAAGGCGGCCAATCATAATATTTGTAATATTAATAGTTTCAGTTAAATTTCCTTAAAACAATATTTATGACTATTTATAAGTATTTAAATTGGTAACGATATGTTCAGAGCCGTTTTTAGTGGCATAATTATCAAAATAGCCCTATATGACAAAAGCAATACTATCAATGTAGATAAAAACTACTTTTATTTTTTGTATCTTAAATTCCTATAATACCCGAAGCAAACCCAATTAAAGATTGTGTTCTATTTCATGTATTGGTCTTTTTCTCTAGTACTTTTAGTTTCTAGTAAAATTTTAATTATTATATTTAATATTTTAAACAATAAAGTTCCATAAAATGTTGATGTTTTTTTTACTGTTAATTATAGCATTTTTTTCACCAAAATAATGTATTTTAAAAAGATATTTACCAAAATGGTGTGGATTTGAAAAAATTTATAATTTAGGTTAAATTTTATACCAAATCAAAATTAGATGGTAAAAAAATTAAATTAAATTATCAGGGCAATAACCTTTTCGTTTTGTTCATATTTAGGTATTTTTTTTTGTATACATTTAGGTAACGAACTTGTTGGAAGTGTTCATATATGACCATTATGACTGGCTGTAACTTGCTACAGCCGGTCACTTCCAACAAGTTCGTTACCTAAATGTGTACAAAAAAAATCAATTTTCCTTTCTTTGTCATGTTTTGTTTGGCTCAACAAATAGAAAGAGCCATTAAAAAATGTTTTTATCGATAAATATAAAACTAATTAGAGTAAAATCAATAAATAAATAATTTTGTTTTATAAATATATATTATTATATTTCTTTTAAAGAATATATATCATTATATTTACAAAAGGAATGAAAAGAAAAACAACCCTTTTCCAATTGAATGAAAATCAGCGTAAGAGAAAAGAATTGTATTCCCGGATGAATGCTACATTTTAGTCTTTCCTTATGTCAAATTGTCAATCAAACATGATTTTTTTATAACTCCATACTGCTCATTTTATTCCCTCTTCCATTAATGAGTTACAAAAACATTCCGAATATTATTTTTTAGGTGAAAGATGTTATTTTAGAAAAAAAGTAAAGATGTTATTTTAGAAAAAAAGTTCAAAATTTTAATGGTTAAAACGAAAAATATAATTTTTGAGTGGTTAAACAGAACAAATTCTAATATAATTATTTTATAGAATTTAAAATTTTATGTAGTGGTCTTTTGAAATACAAAAAACAAACTTTTAGTGGTTGAAACAGAAATTATTTCGATGGTTAAAAAAAAGCTAAGATATAATGGCTTTTATGAAATTAAGAAAAAAAACGAATAAAATATATCGTTTTTTTTGCAATTCATTATTGAGAAACACTTACATTACTGCTGTAGGTTTTTATAAAAGTTTCGGCGATTAATCCCAAAAAAGTTCCAAACTACAGTGATTTTTTTTTTCAATTTCTAAAGTTTGGCTAAGAAACCATTTCGTTGCATAACAGCGAAAAAAAAGCATAAATAAGCACTTGGCACTTATTTTTTAATTTCTCCATTGCATTAAACTTACATTAAAAAAAATTGACCTTTGTAAATAGACTTTAAATTATGTGTAATAAACCTTATATTTACTTTATTTTTGTATGGTGCACCAAATCGTATACCAAAGGGTATATATGGAAATGTAGGAATTTATAAATTGAAGTGTTCCAAACTACAGTCTTTATAAATTTAAAGTTTTATGTAGTGCTCTTTTCAAATGAAAAAACAAACTTTAAGTTGTTGAAGCAGATTTTTTTTCGATGGTTAAAAAGAAGCTAAAATATAATGGTGTTTATGAAATTAAGAAAAAAAAAAGAAAAGAAGAAAAAATGTATTGTTTTTATAGAGCTGGTAAAAATCGACCCAACTCAACCCACTATTAACAGGTTGAGTTGAGATTTTCAACTTATTTAAATTAAATGAGTCAATCCGTCTAACACATTTAATTAAATAATTGGGTTGGTTAAAAGTTATAGGTATGTTTTAAACACACAAATCCATTTAACTTTAATATATATTTAATTTAATAATTATTTACATATTACAATGTATTAATCTAAGTATTATTTTATAAATTATAATGTTCTGTTATTATTTATGTTTTAAAAAAATGCAATACTAATTCCTATATTTTTTTTGACGCCGACAACATTAGTCACTCTCCAAAATCATTTCGAAATTAATTATTTTTAATGTTAATTGAACATTTATTTGTATTTGTAAATTTTCATTGCGTTTTTGACATACTTTGAAATTTTATTTAAGCTTGGAACTAATTTAAAAGGAAATCTCCAGAAAAGTCCTAAAATTTTAGGTCAATTTATGAAAAAGTCTCAAACTAAATTTTGTTTACAAAAAAAGCACAGAATACCGGTTAAAACTTCGAAAAAACCCTTTTCGGCCGGTTTCGCAGATTTAGCCGGTATTCTGTCATTTTTCGTTAGTTTGCTCAAAATTTGGGACTTTTCCAAAAATTACTTGATAACCAAAATATTGGGACTTTTCTGAAAATTACCAAGGAATTAATGGATATTATTATTAACAAATCATTTATAAACATAAAACATATTTTTATTATAAAAAAGGAAATACATTTGTTGTTAATTTCTAGGAATAAATTGGTCGTCTAAGTACTCATCTATTGCTTGCTGACCACTCAAACTCTCTACGTTCTTCATATGCATTGTTATGGATATGATGGTGAGATGTACTCAGTTAGTGTTCCTTTAATGTTGGTGTTCATCTTATGTTGTTTAACCTAACCACTCAACATTCATACCTCACATGTTAACAACCATCAGCTAACACACATCTATCAAATGTGACAAATGATCCATGAATGATAGTTTATATGGAAACAAGTGAAAGGTGATTATCTATTTAAATTGTCATTCAAAGTTTACTTTTCACTCTCGATAGATGTGTGTAATTTGATGGTTGTTACAGAGTAATGTATGGAGGTTAGGTGGTAATTAGGTTAAAAAACATAATAAAATATCTATATGTTCAAGAATCGTTGTGTAATGATATTTTCTAATAACATGTGATCATATAGCGTCATGCCTAATAGCAAGTAGACTCTTATTGATTATGTATTAATAAATATTATCAAATCTTGTATTGGTCACGCCTAACAAGTTACTTCTTACTATGACACTCACAACGATACATAGGAGGAACATAAGGACTTTGAAGTGGTCAACAAACAATAGAGAAATACATAGTCGACCATTCTATTCCTAGAAATTAGCTAAAAATGTATTTCATTTGTTTATAATAAAAATTTTTATATGTTTATAAATAATTTATTAATAATAATATCCATTAATTCCATAGTAATTTTCAGAAAAGTCCTAATATTTTGGTTATCGGGTAATTTTCAAAAAAATCATAATATTTTGAGCAAACTAACAAAAAATGACAGAATACCGGCTAAATCTTTGAAACCGGACAAAAATGGTTTTTTCGAAGTTTTAGCCAGTTCTGTGCTTTTCTGTAAACAAAAATTAGTTTGAGATTTTTTCATAAGTTAGACTAAAATTATAGGACTTTTTTTAGAGATTTTCCCTAATTTAAATGGTGTAAACTTTAGCCAATTTACTTATTTTTTTTTATTTTAAATGGGTTAACCCAGGTTTAACCAATTTATTTAATAGGTTGGGTTGAGAAATAAATAAATAGGTCAATCCAGTGACAACTCATTTATTTGAAAGTTTGGACTGGGTTGGAAATATCAACCCATTTAAATAAACAGGTTGAGTTAGGTTGAAATCTTCAACCCAATTAATAAATGGGTTAGACCTGAACTCAACTTAGATTGATCCATTGACAGCTCTAGTTTTTTACAATTCATTATTAAGAAACACTTACATTATTGCTATAGTTTTTATAAATTTTTTTCGGTGATTAATCCCAAAAAAGTTCCAAACTACAGTGATTTTTTTTTCTTTTCTAATGTTTGGCCAAAAAGAAACCATTTTGTTGCATTAATAGAGAAAAAAAAGCATAAATAAGCACTTGACACTTATTTTTTAATTTCTACATTGCATTAAACTTACATTAAATAAAGTAAATATAAGGTTTATTACACATAACTTAAAGTCTATTCACAAAGGTTTTGTATGGAGCACCAAATCTTATACCAAA